CGCAATCATTTGTCATTAGTAATGCTGTACAAACGTTCTTTAGGAAATATCTAGGCCCTACAATATGTCCTTTCAACAGCCAACAGTGTTAAGCTGCGGGATGTACCAGTGCCCAATCAGGCGTTGTTATCTTGAATGGCCATATCATATCAACTCCGCGTTGCTGTGCCCACAGAACATAACACAATCTTGACATGTCACATTCTTTTTCTGACTGGCCAGCTCTTCTCTTTTGTGCTTTGCGCAACTTCCGCGGCACCAATGTTTGCTTACAGGCAGATGAGTTGACCGCTGACTTGTGCTAACCCACACTTCTCCTCAGCACTCACACTTGCCACTTACAAAGTCTTCTAGATCCTTTTCTGGAGCCTGTTTGCGCTTCCCTGCTGTCAGCTGGAGAGGCTTCACTGTAGCCTATTCTCCATTATCTCTCCCGCCTCTGGCAAGTGTTGCTGCATTTTCCAATTTGGGAGCACTTCAAAGGCTTTGACCTGTAACACGAGTGCCCACATCAATCCTTTACTGTAGTATTCGAAGCTTAGCTTGCCTTCTACATGTCTGTCTCGTTTTGCTTCAATGTGTGCAAAACTAGCACTGCCCACTGAAGACACTCATTATGAATTGCAGGGTTCCAGGCATTGTCATTGCAATTCCGTTTTTTGCTCTGTCCTGTCTGTGTCCCCATCCAGGCGCGTCCGTGCTGCTCACTGCAGCTTCAGTGTCAGTTGCCAGCAGCAAAACCCGGGCTAACTGCAGAACAAAACGGGGCTGATGGCCAAGCCTTTGCAAGGCAGTCACTTTCCATTTCTACGTAAATAGGTATAATCCGAAAGATATGACCCTAAGGGCCATTTCTGGGTCATTGCACAGCGCTGCAGCGCTGCAAGCTGCAATCACCACTTCTCGGGGCCTAGTGCCTTTGCCTATCGCAGCCTCTACATTTGCTTTCTAAAATCTGTAGTTATATTCTTAGCACAGGCAGGCCCTGGATGCTTTTCTCTGCCACGTGACTCCGAGTAGAAAGTGTCTGACGCTGGGCAACCGCAGAAGATCCCAAGTCAGCGCACCTCTTACACTTCCTCCCAAGTTCCAGTCCAAGTTCTTATGCTTGAACAATTGTTTTCAGTGTTTCACTTCTTGCAATCGTAATGCAACAATGCGTCTTTCTTACAACTCTGCTTCGTCGCGGCCCGTTTGCTTCCTTCGACCAGAGCCCCTGCTTAGTTTCCCGAAAGGCTCCTCTGCGCGAAAAGCCTGGTCCTATCTTTTGCAATCGCAAGCAGGCTTTTGTGGTTGATTTGCCAAACTCTCTGGGACTTCTTTCGCGTTTTCATTTCTCCAAATCTTTGTCCTCCGCTTTTAGTTCTACCGCCTTTAACCGAATATAAGTTAGTCTAGGGATATCATACTGATCTCCCCTTGAAAGTTTGGCATTCATGCCTGCATTTATCCACACTTTGGTCTACCAAATTTTGGCTTATACTCCTGATATCACTTCCAGCAATTTTTTTTGGCATCTTCGCTCGTAATAATATACAGGGCATCCTGTGAAACCGTTGCTTCTCCAATTACCAATTTGTCATGTCTAGGGTGCCAGTGACAGTATCCAATGTGCTGTGCCTGAGATACATAATGCAAGCTCCGAGCTCCACCGGATCAAATGGACCATGAGGCGTAGGAAATTTCTTGCGGCGTTTGCATTTTCGTGTTTTGGAGGCTTTTGGTGAGCCAAAAGTGCCTTCCTCGAACGTCAATAGGCTGACACTTCATAAGGTGTTCGTCTCGGCGGCCTATTGCTGGGCTATTCTAATCTGGTTAGCAGTGACGTCATTGCACCTGGGGATCACTAGTGCAGCGAGGTGCTCACATATTCTACAATACTTAGGCACTTCCTTGGATTATGTTTTGGGCTGCAGTGCTGAGGAATCAAAGTACTTTCTGCTAGGTACTGGATGTCAACAGATGCGAGCTGAAGACTCTTTGAGGACTTCCACGACATCCCCGCTGAGGAGCTGCAGTTCATTTCAAGGAATACAGTGCTCGCGAAATCCCAATCTGCGCTAGATGCCACCTTCAAATAACAAGCGTGGGGTTAAGAAAAGATACACTATGGCAGTGCACCAAGCGGAGCTTCGCCGCTTCGTAAATCCCCACTGCCTGCAAGCCTACAAACTCTTCTAGACCAAGCAGCATTCATATTTGTGTGTGACAAACTGGCCGGTCGATTTGAACATGGCAGAGGATCTACAGGGAACAAAAGTTTGAGCTAACCTTTTCTGAAACGCAGAACTTCTTGTCCTTAAATGAGGCCCTGGTAGCCACAGCGTCACTGTTGGCCCGAAATCGTGGGCATGGCTTCAGAGCTTGCAGGGCCTCGCCAATGTTTCAGCTCCTCCTTTACAAAATTCATATTTAATGCATGCTACAAATGCATTTAACGCAGCTTTCTTGGCAATCTTAGGCTATTTTCATGCTCCGCTGCAGTACGCACCGCTACAAGTTTGAGTTTCTTAAGTCCTGCATATCCAACTATGTATGTTTCTTGTTTAATTGGCATTTGATTATGACCCTAGTTGCTACTTTAAGAATTTTTAAAGCCTATAGTTGTGCAACACACTTAAATCAAGCTCAACATCACTTTCCCACTGAAATTCTCATATGCAAGTGCCTCAATCCCACTAACACAATAAGATTCAAGATACTTTCCCGGCACTTAAGAGGTGTTCATGCGTCCTTGCAGCATTGTTTTTTAATGTTATTGTTGCAGACGTGCAGATAGACAAAAGCTAAGGATGATGCCTGAAAGAAATGAACGCTATGGCCTTCCTATTTTCTCACTATAGCAGCACATGTGGCAAGAAAAAATATCTGGGATGCCACAAAAGCATTTAATAGTGTGCAAAAAACAATTTTGTGCTCTGGACACACAAGATTCATGATAAGTTGCTGCACGGGAAGCGTGCTGCCATCTGTCACTCTCAGTGTGAAATGATGTGAAGTGTAGTGGCTTACGACTCTCAGATCTTTAGTTTCCACATGTGTTCATACAGAAGAAACGGCGCTGTATGCAGCAGCTGCTGTGTGTTACAGCGTACTTCTAGTGATGGGCTGTTAAGGTAGCTCCAGAGCCTTCTTTGTGCGGTGTGAGCTGGGCCCGTGTAAAGGCTTGAGGGTTTGGCAAAGCTCTTTTGCCCTTGTTTCTGCATTTTTTAATTGATATTTGACCACTTTTTGGGATTCGTTTGTCGGGGATAGGTAGCAAGGGCGCCTGTGGGGTCGATACGCACTAATCCAAACTTTTGCGCAGTTGTAGCTGTGCAATGTCGAGTTTCTCGTAGGGCCTTCTTCTAGGTTTTAGAACAGCAATAGACACTGATTTTACTGATCGGAGCACTCTATAAAAGCTTATCTGACCCTTGAAGGGTTCCGTCACACCCTGGAATGCTGCCTCTCCCCAACCCACCACTGTTACACGGCACACGATTTATCTACCTCCCCTTCACAGTATTATTCAACAGTCGTGAACCATAATTTTCGAATTAAAATATCATTTGGGATTCTTTTTGGACAATGCGTTTCTGTGGTCTGGGGAATTCACATTTTTCGCAGGGGAATGATCCCTCCCCCCGCTGGTCAATGGGCCGGCTTACTTAGCGGCTCATGGCTTTACTCCCGTCTCCTGGGCTTCAGTATACAATAAAACATTCCCAAATCAATGTTTGCTCCTATTAGACATCATGAAATAAGCTTAAAGCAGAGGCAGGTATACTATGGAGCTCCAACCATTGCACCCGCACGCTCACGTTGCGTCTCCACTCCTCACGTGTAGTCAGAGTTCACTCGCCTCTGCTTCTGTAGCGGTAATTCTCTCTAGTCCAATAATACATAAACTTATTTTAAAAGAGAGTTTAACCATATTTAGGTGAGTTTGGTAATGGCGTGTCCATTGATTTGGTGCGAGATGAGGGAATATCGCGTGAGGCGGAGCTGTAACCTAATGACTCCTCCAGCGAAGTTGAGCCGCTACTTAGGTTCACTCACAAATCCGACGTGGGAAAGCAACTTGGAGAAGCGCGAAAGTGTAGAAAGACAAAGAACGCGCAACTCTGGTGCTGGCAGTGGTGAAGAATGCTGAGGCAGACACAGAGCCCACAGAACACCAGCATGATTCGATCATGCCTTTGCTGAGGAGAAAAGGCAGCCTCGAGGCGCGAAACTAACATTAAAAGATGTCTCAAAGGTGACAAGTTTTAGTGAGCGAATGTCCACACGAAGCAACGAAAAAAAATACGAAGCGATTGAGCAAAACGCGGCGCGGACGACGGCTTTTCCGTGACAGATGGCAGACGGTTAGAGCTTGCGCCAATGAAACCTCGCGAAGTGGGGCTGCAGCATTGAAATTTAGTTTAGATTTAGGCGGCAATTTTGTGGCTGGATTGGCAAATAAAATGCTGCTTTCGTGCGGCGCGAGTTACAGAGGTTCTGCCGCTCAGCAAAAGCCAGCGCATAAGAGTGCACTGCGAAGTCCTTGGCACGGGGGGGTGAGCATCCACCAACGAGAGGTTTGGACTTCAAAAGATGAAGACAGGAAAGCAAATCTGCCAAAGTTAAAGAATACGCGTTTGTTTTAAAGCCCACGTTTGAAAACATAATGATGCGCAGCCTCTTCTCATGTGGCGCCATACTGCTGGGCGCCTCGTTCCCAGTGAGAGGAGCGCAGGCACCATCCAACAGGCCCGTTTTCCCCGCTAGTAGCCAAGTATTTGAAAATGCTTCTTCCAATGAGGAATTTTATGTTATGGACGGGGCCGTCTCACCGCAGGCTCCTTCCGGAAAATATATGTGGCGCGCCCTTGGAGGGACCGCCTTGGCTTTGGCCATCTCGGTGACACTGTTTCTTCTTCTCAAGTGCTTCACTCACTTGTCTTCCTCCAAGCCCCGAATGCACTTCCGTCGCCTTGCAACTGAAGGGGAAGGGGGAGAAGGCCCTTGTGGAGGCTCTAGAGAAGGTTCTCCAGTTCCTCCCCTTCAACCTCCATCTCAGCCGGAGCCTCCACCCCATCTTGGACCTCCGCCTGCAGTTCTTCATCCTCCACCTTCGCCTCATCCTCCATCCTCTCCTCGATCTCCACCTTATCTTGACCCTCCGTCTGGTCTTGGCTTTCCACCCCGTCAATCTGGCAATGTATCTTCGCCCGAACTCCCATCCTCGCCCGAACCTCAAACTTCGCCTGAATTCCCATCCTCGCCCGAACTCCCTTCCGAGCTTCAATTTCCGTCTCAGCGTGGCTTTTCATCCAGGAATGCAAGTTCATCCTCGGAGGAGCTTCCACCTACCCCTCAATCATCTCACCGTGGGACTCCCTACCCTACTGGATATTCAGCACCTTGGGGCGAATCTCCACCTTACCCGCAATACCTAGCCTCTCCTGCAGCATCTCCGGGTGGATCTCCATCTTATCCGCAATCTCCAACCCCTCCTGCAACATCTCGGGACAGATCTCCATCTCCGCAATATCCAACCTCCCGTGCAGCCTCCCAGCACGGATCTCCAACACCTCCGCAATATCCAGCCTCTCCAGCAACACCTCGAAGCGAATCTCCAGCGCCTTTTCAATATCCAGCCTCTCCCGCAGCAGCTGGGGGTGGGTTTCCAGCAGCTCCGCAATATCCAGCCTCTTATGCAACACCCCGGCGTGGATCTTCACCACCGGATTACCCACCCTCTCCTTCACCATCCCGCCGAGGGATTCCATCCCCGCAACCTCCACCCTCTCCTGCACTGCCCCGCAGAGGATCAGCTCCACAGTTTCCTCAATATCCATCCTCTCCAACATCCCAGCCCAGGCCCCGATCCACTGTTGGGTTTCCACCCCCGTCTGGACGTCCATTCTTCTTCCAGCCTCCATCCTCGCCTTTCCGTCCAGGTCGGATTAAAATTCCTGAAGTGTTTACAGGCCAACCCCCACCAAAGCCACCCCGTCGTAATCGCGCACCTCTAATTGACGTTCCTCTCACACAAACACCTCCAAGCTTGCCGGTACCATCCGGAGGTCCACTTCCATCCAAAGTTGAACAGCCATCAAAACCTGAACAGCCAAGTTCACAAGTTGAAGCTCCATCCAAAGGTGCAGCCCCGTCTTCGCCTGATCGTCCTGCCCAGCCCGGACTTCCACCTGGAACGGACCCTTCATCCGTGCCCCTTCAACTTGGGCCACGGGAGGCCTCGGATTTAGCGGTCAAGCTCGAGTCGTGGAGTAGCGGGGTATCTGGTTCGATTGATCTACTTGGTGGTATGGATGATGATGACAAAGACGACCTCTGGGGCAGAACCCGCGAGGGAATTGATCTGGTGGGTCAATTTTTAGGCTCGGACTTTTCAGACGGAGTGGACTCCGGACTCCGCAGGCGTCTTGAAGACGTGGTAGATAAATGCAAAGCTCTCCTCGGTCAAATTGCAGAGGAATCCGATGCAGACTGGGCTGCGAGAGTTCAGGACAGGGAAAGCCTTCTTGACTTTGCAGGAAACGACGTTACCTCGGCAATGCAGAAGTTCGCCGAAGAGCCTCCTCATGATGCAGATAGTCCTTCTGTTGGCGCTCTCAAAAGAGGGCGCGACGCAGCTGAGGCAGCAAAAGAAGAGAGGCTCGATTTTGGCAAGCTGACCGCTCCGTGGCTGGAAACGCCTGAACTAGATGGGGCGCTGGGACGCCTCTCAGATAAAATTAGAAGATTGGAGCAACGTTTGTCAGATGCAGCGGGCACATGCGGCTATTCGTGGGGCACCTATCTGGATGGTTTGAAACAAAGCGCATTGGGAGGAGGGGAAGATGCAGAAGACGCCAAGCGGCGAATCCCAGATAGCGTGGAAAGGGGAAAGAAAGTTAGAGATATTCTCGATTATGTTACAGGTAGATCAGGAACCCAGAACTGAGCTGGAAGCTGCATGGAGCTCAGGAAAGGCGGCTTCCCTTCGTCTGTTCTCGAGCTGTGGACTGTGAACATCGTGGCAGCCACTGGCTGGCAAAAGAGGCGGAGGCACATTGTGAGTGCAGCAAGTTTGTAGGGTCTAAGCGGGACTTGTGCTTGTCTAGTGAACTATTTGGAGGGGCTCATCGCACTGTTACCGAAAACTAGCAAGTATTCAGGTTTGTTGAGCCGCACGAGCTGCAGCTGGCAGCACCCCAGCAAGCTCAGTGGGCTTTCAGCAAGAAACCCTCACTCCTCTTATGTGTAGGCGCCGGTATGCATTGCATTTCTGCTGATTTTGGTATACATTGCACTTCTACTGAGTTCGAGTCTCTCACCAGTTATTCATTGACAACCTGTGACTGTTTTAATTCAAAACGGGCTCCTTTGACGCTGCAAAGGCTGCCTGGCTTCTATCTGGATTCTCAATTGCAGCTGGACCTCCGGGGGTACCGAAACAAAGAAAACAATATGGATCACAGAGTTCTTTGTTTTCTTCCTCCAGCGCCTCAGTCAATCAGCACCGTGCACGTGGGCACACCTTTTGTTGGTGTTCACAACAACCACAACGCTATATTTGCAATGAATTGTTCAATGGTCAGCTCTTTCCGCACGTCGCAAGTGAATTAGATTGCCTGGGCTACGCAGTAACCACCCGATCCTCCCTAATCCTTACGTTTCCTGCACGCAAAGTTCCACAATGGGACAAAGTCAAATGTTGCTCGAAGAACTGGAGTCTATGGTCTAGTAATCACGTTCTGGTCCTTCCTAGAGCCACCCTCTGTAGGTTTTGGACTTACTTGCGCAGTTTACCTTCCTTTCTGGAAAAGTTGAACATAACCAGTTTCTGGCTGCTGGAAAAGTCCCGCTAGAGGCATATTGGCGCCCTTCGCCCGGCAAAGTTGCAACATTTGAAATTTCAAATGCGTTTTCTGCTAATTTAATGCAAGTAAACAACTTAGAAAGCAGGTATCTGCGTTCTTTCTGTAAACAACCAACCTCGAGTGCGAACTGAATAGGCTGGCGCTGCTGTCTCAAATGTCCGCCAGGGTATATTCGTATATTTTAGAGCCCTAGGAGAAGTATTTGGGCGAAAAAAATGGCTCTTTGTGTGACAAAGCAGTTTTATGAAACTTCAGCGAAGTAAATTGGGGAAAACAGTTCATTAACTTGACGTTCCCAGACATACACACCTCCACTAGTCTCCTCGCTCGCATCCTGATGTGGTACACCACGGCTGATCTGGGTATATTCCTGTTAGGCGAGCAATAGCTTTGATTACTTAGCTGCTAAATGTCGAAAAGGTGGCATTCAGTAAGCTAAGTCTTGATTAGCTGAAGCATGATCTGAATGGGGAGTTTCACCGCTGGCTTTGTGGTTGGAGGAGGCTGGGCGTAATTTTTCGGGAGCCACCTCCCGGATGACGCGTAGGCCATGAGTTACTGAGGCAGCAAGAGGGGAAAAAAGAAGGAAAGTTGCTTCCTGAGGTCAAGAAGACGCAGAAATACGGAGATTGTGAAGGTATTCCTGGGGAAAAAAGGGCAAGGAGCGGGTGGCGCTGTGCCTTACAGGGCTTCGCTGCAGCTGAGTCGTCTACTGGAGTTTGCGGTCTGTCTGTGCACTTTTGATTCAGGTTTTATTGTTTTTGTAAATTGCGGCTTTTACACTCCTGCAACTTTGTGCTACTGCGCGACAACTGCCCTGGAGCGTCGCTGTGCAGGGTTGTTGTGTTTTGCATGCAGAAGTGCGTCTTTGGAGCCGCAGAACAGGGATTACTGCAGTTCCCTGCTTGTTTTTTGCACAGTTTCATGGCACGCTAGATGTCTGGGACGCCATGCTCAAGAACTATGCCGCATTAGTTGTGGCGGCCTTCGTTTGTTTGCTGCCAACTGCGAGGAGTTCGTACTCGGTTTCGCGGGGGCCCGAGGAGCGCAAGGCCCCGTGGCAACATGACGGCTACTTGGACGTGGATTTAAAGGCCAAGGGGAAAGCGCAGGCCCTGGCGCAGCAGCCTGCAGCGCGATCGGCGCGGCGAGTGTGCAAAGGAAAGCTGTGCGTGTTGGCGGCGGCGGCGGCCGTGGCGCACCTGCTGATCTGCTCCGCGTCTTCGCTGAAAAAGAAGCCGCTGCCGGAATGGAAGCCAAAAGAGTCGTCTTTGCAGGCAGAAGAGGCCGCGGAGGAGGGGGAGGCCCCCCCGGACGCGGAGGGTGACAGCGTGGATTTGCAAGTTCAGCTTTTGACGCTGGATCCGGGCGACGCGGCGCAGCTGTCGCCGCAGCAACGGCGGCTGGTGGAAATGGCCGTGGAAAGCCTGGAGACTGTGGAGGGAGAGCTGGAGGTTCTGTACTTGAACGCGGCGAAGATCGACGAGGAGCTGCGGCAAGTCCGCGAGGAGTTCCAGCGCTCGCAGGAGGACTACTTGCTTTCCGAAGCCGGCGCAGCGGTGGTCACCTCCCTCAGACTCGCAATGGACCAGTTGGAGAAGCAAAGCTGCAGAGCGTGGGCTGCTTTCGACGACAAAGACGCGCAAAGAAGCCTCATGGGCTACACTGCAGCACAGGAGGCGCGCGGGGAGGAGCTCTTGGCGGGGAGCGGCGGGGGGCGCCCCCGTCTGAGCCCCGGCGCTGCTGCTGCGGTTGCTGCGGCCGAGCGGGTCTTGCTTTCCTTCCGGCTGCGCAAAGTTGCTGCTGCTGCGCCCCAGGGGGCCCCGCTGCAGGGCCCCGCGAGGGACTTTGAAAAGACCCTTTGGCGGCACTTCAAAGTGCTCACGGAGACGTCGCAGCGCTGGCGCGGCGACCGGGCGGCGCTGCTGGCAGCAGCGGAGGGGGCCCTCGAGGACGCGCACGGCCACGTGCAGCAGCAGCAGCGCGACGGGCTCGCGGAGGCCCCCCCCGGGCTGCTGGAGGCCATGGGGGCCCTCGAGGCGCTGCTGGACCAGACCACTGGTCCAGAGGACGAGGAGGGGGGCCTCGAGGGCCCCGGCGCCGGCGACG